TGGACACAAACTGAATTCAAAAATCTGCTTGCCAAATGCGCTACTTCACATTGATGCCCTACGAAATTCACCAAAGCAGTAATTCTTTTGAACTCACAGTCAACAATAAATTCAATCGGAAATAGAGAACCACCCAAAACAGGCGAGATATACGAATGTAAAAACTGTATCAATTACTGACAGAAATAAACAAAACAGTAATTCTTCAATGGATATTAAAGGCTAAGAAGGGGACAACAATTTTGCAAGGCATAGACCGACTGATATCATTCCACACAATGAAGACATTAATCAGGAGAGAATTCAAGACTTCAAGGTGCAACAAACTTAAAGCTCGAACAAAGGAGAAACAGTGACAGTAACACTCTCCGACATACCCGAATGGCCATCTAATTCGGTCTCCAGCCCTAAAGACAACGATGCTAACCCTGAGATACTGGGAAGCTAGAAGTCAACTAATGAACTACTGTTAACTGACCTAAAGTCTAAATATATGTTCCTCCGCGAAATCAACTAAGGGACTAATGATAAATATCATATAGCTTGTCACTTAAAATGATAATACTAATATTGGTACCCTTATTGTTTTTAATACGCTTCAAATCGCTTCATCTTTAACATAACTTGTAAAATATGGCAAACGCACTTCAAAATGTAACAATTTTCTGTTTTCCTAAAAAATACGACAGTAACGCATTCATATGAATAGTTTAAGACACAAGTTTCTACCTTTCTGCGTCTTGTCCACTTATTTCGATAGAATTTGAACCTTCCCCATCAATTCTTGCAAATATATGCATATCAAATTGAACCCACTATTCAAATTACCTCAATTGAGAGGAAAAGCCTACCGGACGATGTAAAATTCTATTTAATTCCCTCATTTAGAATCGCTTGTAGGTACTCTTTTTAGTCAATTGAATACTGGCTTTTTCTCATACCCAAACTGCATCGAATTAAATGCCATTTATTTAAACAAAAAGGTGTTTAGGTTGAAATTTTTCATGTTGATATTTAGTGGAAATTAGTACTACCCTTGGATGGATTGTCTGTTTGTGAAGTCAAACGAAAATTATTACTTTATAATTTAATCGCAATTGAGAAACGGATTCCGCATATGTTCATTACGTATATATGTTTAATGATTAAAAATGAGTATTAAATTACTTACAGCGTTTACACGACTTATATCAGTCCCAATTGTAGATACGAATTCTGTTATCTCCAGATTATTGACTTTCGAGGAGATTTGAATAGCTGTATCTCCATTCTAAAAGGAAATAACTATTCAAGTCACAGAATATAGAGCAATTTGACACTTTATTGAAATAAAGCCAGGGGGGTATGCAACTTCATTTTCACTTTAATTAATGCCAAATATCGTCATTAGATCCTCTGAACTTTATGATCGTTATGAAATATTTATTTATTTCAAATGGCAGGCGTTTTGATAGCTACCATTAGCCACTTAGCTGACTTCGGGCTTCACAGAGGGAAGGTTCATCAAAGTAGCAGAAAGTCGAGGGGTGGGGAACAGAAGAGTGATTCACAGATGTAAAAGAGGCAGACAGACATAAAGGTAGGGAAAAAGGTAAGATGAGTACTGTGGTGGTAGGGGTCGAATATGACATGCAGAAGGGCCGTGGTATTTTGAAGTCAGAAGTCAAATGCCGGTTAATAGACTTTTTTGCCGTATGAGTATACGTTGCTCAGGGTGCACCGCGTGGAGGTAAGTCTATCGCACACCCCTCGTTATGAAATATGGCTTTTGCCATTTAATGACCTTGTATTGCTCCTAAGGCTGGTGATCTAATGTTGGCAAATTCACAGTGAAAAGTAAACTTGTTGCCATTAGAGAGGCTATGCGAATATGCTTGGACTTATCCTAAAAGATGTATTTGACAAGATCCTCTCGTAAATACTATTTTGGGTACGATGACCCTTTAATGACTATTGATTATTGCTTGGTCGAGAGGTCTCCGCCCTCGTGACCTCGTACGATTAGCACCACAGTCCCACTGACGACTGTGATGGCATGTAAGAAAACACCGTCTTCTCAGTTATGTGGAGCAAAACCGGAATGATACAGCAGAATCAACTTTACTTAATTAAATAGCGACGATCAATAAGCATCTAAGTCCGTTGGTGAATTTTTGCTGCCAACCAAGAGATAATTGGGTGTAAGTGACTGGCACAAAGGTTAGTCATTAAGTACAAGTTCGGCTACGTTGGTCATGCTGTGACTAATGATAGTTGATTAGCGGGGAGGACTTTGCACTCGTGACCTCATTTGCTCTCTAGTGCGATTAGCATCAAAGCTGCACGTTACAGAATGTTCGAGCACACATAACGTTGCTTAGAGAAACTGCATACACCACATCTCCTTTAGGCGGTAACCGAATATTCAAAAAGACACTCTGTAGACCAAGTTATCGTGGTATGAGTCAAGTAACTAAGCGCACAAACAAAGCATAATTATGTTAATTCCATCGGGGTGCGCGATAGACTTACCTCCACGTGGTGTGCCCTGGGCAACGTATATTCATACGGCAAAAAAGTCTATTAACTGGCAGTTGACTTCTCACTTTAAACTACCATGACCCCACTGTATGTCATATTCGACCACTTCCACCGTACTCACCTCACCTTTTTTCTACCTTTATGTTTGTCTCTTACATCTTTGAAACACTCTTCTGTCCCCCCCCTCTCGAATTTTTTCAATTTGATGTTCCTTCCGCTCTGTGAAGCCTGAAGTCAACTAAAGGGCTAATGATAACCATCAAGACGCATGCCATTTGATATAAATAAATGTTAATTCCATCTAACCGGAAGATATTCTTACTTTTAGTTACTCGCTTAAGAGGCCCGTTTTTACTACTTATTCTATATTTCACCAAGTTTGTTGCTGTTATTCTCACTTAAGAAAACGTTTTCCCTATTACTTATACTTAATTTGTGCGTTTGTCAATTCCCGAACACGTGGCGTACACTGTATAGAATCTTCCCCATGCCCTCTGACATGATCGACATGCGCCGGGACCAATGCACCACTTATGCTCTATGCCCTGGGGTGAGCAATAGACTTACCTCCACGTGGTGCACCCTGGGTAACGTATACTTATACGGCAAAAATGTCTATTGATCGGCGGTTGACTTCTGACTTCAAACTACTATGGCCCGACTATTTGTCATATTCGACCCCTTTCACAGTACTCATCTTACCTCTTTTATGCCTTAGTGTCTGTCTGTCTGTCTCATTTACATCTGTGAATCACTCTTCTGTTCCCCCTCTCGACTTTTTTGTCACTTTGATGCTCCTTCTCCTCTCTGTGAAGCCCCGAAGTCAGCTCCAGGATTAATGATAACTATCAAAACGCCTGCCATTTGATATAAATAAATAAATAAATGTGCTGTGCCAATCATACTGGCCTTTTTGGCAGAAATGAAGATATTTCGATTTTCTATGAAAGTTCGGGTCAACTAGTTTGACGAAATCGATCACTTTTACGTCATGTGCACTTAAAAAATTTTGAGCTGGGAATTCGGTGGTTATGGGGAGGAAAATTCGTTGTGTGTTCTTATTTTAGTTAAAAATTAAAAAAACTTATTACAATATTGCAAACCATAATGTGAGATTCGATTTTTTAAATAATTGATTTAACTCCTTAAAGTACACGTACAAAAATTAAAAATTCAAGAAAATAAATCTTTAATTTCTCATGAAAATTTCAGTAGCCACCAATTCTTGACTCTTCAATTATCTAAATACCTTAAAATGAGTTTTCTCGCAAATATTCAGGAAATTTTTCCTTCTTACATCAATTTGGATCATTTCACATTTTTCTTTCACAAATCCTGTGCATACAAATCTTCTTTTCGGCAAATTGTTTCCTCGCCGTTTTTTAATTGAAAAGGATAAATTTCCTGAATTTAAATTAGAATATAAATATTTGCGTTCAACAGGGGTGTGCGATAGACTTACCTCCTCATGGTGCACCCTGGGCAACGTATACTCATACGGCAAAAAAGTCTATTAACCGGAAAAATTGACTTCTGACTTCAATCTACCATGGACCCACTGTGTTATATTCCTCCACTCCACAGTACTCGCCTTACCCTACTCTCGACCTTTGTGTTTGTCTGTCTCTTTTACATCTGTGAATCACTCTTCTGTTCCCTCTCTCGACATTTTATGACTTTGATGTTCCTCCCTCTGCGCTGATAACTTTCAAAACGCCTGCCATTTGAAATAAATAAATAAATAAATACATTCAATGAATTGACTCATTTTATTCATTGTTAACAAAAATCCATGGATTAGTTCANTCATCAATTGAACCAATTTCATCAATTCAATGAAAGTTTATCATCAATTGGACCAATTTCATCAATTCAATGAATGCTGTCATCAATTGAACAGGTCGGTAAATATGACTAATTCTAGTGTCCTCTTATCAAGTCAACGTCTTCTCAGTCGGTTCTTATGACTATTGTCTAGCGTCCTCTTATCAAGTCCACGGCTTCTTAGTCGGTTCTAATGACTACTTCTAGCTTTCTTTTATCAAGTCAACGTCTTCTCCATCGGTTCTTATGACTATCGTCCAGCTTCCTCTTACAAGTCAAAGTTTTCTCAGTCGGTTCTAATGACTACATCTAGCTTTCTCTTATTAAGTCAACGTCTTCATAGTCGGTTTTATGACTATCGCCTAGCTTCCTCTTAACAAGTCACCGTCTACTCAGTCGGTTCTTTTACTATCGTCCGGCTTCCTCTTATCAAGTCAATGTCTACTCAGTCGGTTCTTATGGCAATCGTCTAGCTTCCTCTTATCAGGTCAACGTCTTCTCAGTCGGTTCTTATGACTATCGTCTAGCTTCCTCTTATCAAGTCCACGTCTTCTTACTCGTTTCTAATGACTATATCTAGCTTTCTCTTATCAAGTCAACGTCTACTCAGTCGGTTTTTATGACTATCGTCCGACTTCCTCTTATCAATTCAACATCTTCCCAGTCGGTTCTTCTGACTATCGTCTAGCTTCCTCTCATCAAGTCAATGTATTCTCAGTTGGTCCAAATGACTACGTCAACATCTTCTCAGTTAGTTCAAATTATTTTCCGCTACCTTCTTCTCGTAAGATTAAGTGTCCTTAGTCGATTCACATCAGTTTCCTCTACCCTTTTCTTATCAAGTCTATGTCTTCTCAGGCGGCAAAAATCAGTTTGTTCTACCTTTATCTTATCAAGTTTAANTACCTTAAAATGAGTTTTCTCGCAAATATTCAGGAAATTTTTCCTTCTTACATCAATTTGGATCATTTCACATTTTTCTTTCACAAATCCTGTGCATACAAATCTTCTTTTCGGCAAATTGTTTCCTCGCCGTTTTTTAATTGAAAAGGATAAATTTCCTGAATTTAAATTAGAATATAAATATTTGCGTTCAACAGGGGTGTGCGATAGACTTACCTCCTCATGGTGCACCCTGGGCAACGTATACTCATACGGCAAAAAAGTCTATTAACCGGAAAAATTGACTTCTGACTTCAATCTACCATGGACCCACTGTGTTATATTCCTCCACTCCACAGTACTCGCCTTACCCTACTCTCGACCTTTGTGTTTGTCTGTCTCTTTTACATCTGTGAATCACTCTTCTGTTCCCTCTCTCGACATTTTATGACTTTGATGTTCCTCCCTCTGCGCTGATAACTTTCAAAACGCCTGCCATTTGAAATAAATAAATAAATGTTTGCGTTCAACACTACTGGTGTTTAAATAGCTCATAACTTCAAAAAAGCATCCGGATATGATTGAAAATTACTGTGCCAATAATCAACTTATTTTCCTTGCTGACCGAACGCAGCAAATAGCTATAAAGAGATTCTGCTCCTACTTTAAGAATAAAACAGAACTCCATCTTGATGAATTATATTCACTAGAAACTGATGATCGCATTCTGCTTCAATAAGCCAACGACTGATATTAGATGGTTTTCATCTCAAGTAAACGTGGCATTAGATTCAGCTTAACATTTTCAATTAACTTACAGCATCAGCGACGTCGAAAGAAGCACCGACTTCAAGGAATAATCGGACGACTTCGAAGGAACCCGAGAGAATAGCAAAGAATAATGGTGTCTGTTCATGCTAAAATTTGCATGTACGTACAGTTATATGCAAGTTAATAATAAAGACATCTCATAATTTTTCCATTAGTAGGAGATAATGGAGAAAAATCGATGAAGAATTGGCGTTTATCATCCAATTTCTTATAGCATTTACGTATCTTGACGAATGATTTTGAAACTTTACTCAGCTGATATTACGAAAGAAAGAACAGCAGATTCTACATTAAAATTTTCGCTTTCTTTCAAATGAGCTGATAAAATGGATCCTTATGGACCTTTCTGTAAAAGTGGACCTTTTATCCAAGAAAAAAAGATGCCTTCTAATGAATATGAATTTCATTTAGCAGACTTTACAGATTAGGCAAAAGTTACGTCGCAAGTGTTTGGTATGAAAAAGGCAAGAATATCATTTTTACCTCCCATATCCCAATGGAATAGGATTCATTTTTATTGTCTTACCTTGTTACGTGCTTCGAGTTCAATCTCATGCTTCTCAATCAGGAATCGTAGAAGGGGAATATTTCCATGCAATGCTGCCAAATGCGTCAAACTGTTTCCACCCTAAAATATTTCAATAGCTTGATCAAAAAACAGATTCCATAATAAACTATACTGTTGATTCAGGGGTGTGGAATGTACTTACCTCCACGTGGTGCACCCTGAACAGCGTATACTCATACGGCAAAAAAGTCTATTTACTGGCAGTTCACTTCTCACTTCAAACTACCACCACCCCACTGTATGTCATGTTCGACCCCTTCCACAGTGCTCACCTCACCTTTTTCTACCTTTGTGTCTGTCTCTTACATCTTTGAAATACTCTTCTGTTCCCCCCCCCCTCTCGACATTTTTCACTTTGATGTTCCTCTTCCTCTCTGTGAAGCCTGAAGCCAACTAATGGGCCAATGATAACTGTCAAACCGCCTGCTATTTGATATAAATAAATAAATACTGCTGATGCACAATTTTAACATTTGTAATAATGAAATATTATGGAAAACAACTTAAAATCAACTAAAATTTCTAAATGAGTTAATAAATTTACGCAAAATAATTTATTTTAGTACTTACGTTATCTCGTTCACGAAGGAGGGGAGGATTTGAGTTTTTAGTAAAGTAATCCTCAAATTCCTCCTTTCGCATTTGCGCGATCGAATCCAAACTTGTTGTCATCGCTTCTTAAAAGATGACATCTACGAATTTATTAATCAAAAAATAAATAATTGTAAGGTTAAAATGCATTTTACTTGCCATTATAACCTAAATGCATTATAATTTATTATTAATTTGAATAGCTTTAGGAATTTCCTCCTTGGAAAAATAGGCAACGTGATTTCAACGTGAACCAGGAAGACTTCTCACCTATTGTTTAGAATGAATAACTGTTTTTGTTATCTTATTCAAGCCCTTGGTACCACCTAAGAGAAATAAAATCACAAATTTAAAATACTCAGAAGTTAAAAACAAATATGACGACTGTGATGTATCAGTGGGCTCTTAATAATTATATTAAAAATTTTCAGCATAACAGTATTTTATTGCTCACATTGTCATTGGAATCAATAACTTATTAAACACTAAGTGCATATTTTTTAAAATTGGCACGTTAGAAATAAAATCCATAAAATCAATTTGGCAACACTTCAATATAATTAATTAATTAATCAATATATATAATTAAAATCAGATAATGCCTAAGCAATGAGATATAACGTTTAATAGGAAAAGGTGACTATTTCTTCAAACCACGAATAATTTTTAGAAAAATTCGAAGACAAATACCACTTCAGGCAAATAGATATCTTGATGGACAAAGTTGATGCAAATTAATACTTGAGTATTATAAATGATTTCTGTAGTTTCTTGATTTTGTGAGGGACAAGCTGAGTACACATATTATTAACCGTTTCTGACTATTCTCTTGGTGCCAAAATCTAAAACATCGTCCGATTCTCAGCAAAAATAGTAGAAATAAAGTTTATTCTACAAAAATATCGCCTCTGGAGAAGTAGGGAATAAATTATCTTCAATACATAGTGTTGTTCCACCTCTACCTGTCTCCAAACCCACTATCTCCAAGTGTCAATCAGTCCTGGTGTCCCGTTTGCTTGTTCTTTAGACGAAGCAACTATGGCTTCTTGAGGGCATAAGGATGGTCGTTGTACATTGACTCCTTCAGAACTCATAGCGGTCGACGCTGATGGTGGTGAATGTAAAGAACTTGAGGAAATCGGTTCAGCTCAATCCGCTTCCTGCTCCAAAGAAGGAGTACCAGAAGTGGTTTCACAAGATGTTGGCGGGACTTACAAGTTGCCTCTCTCATTTCTCCTCAGGATCCCTGTATGTGTTCTCAAACTAAATTTCCTTGGTCTCACGTCGATCTCAGTCTTGGTGTACCTATCCAAGGAATCTCTTATCCTATCCTGGTGAATTAAATTCGAATTGACCTGAGATTATACTAAGTAAGTCTGCAATACCTATCAATACTTTACTTAGCAGTCTCGAACATGTATTTGCCAATTAGCTACTGTGTTCGGAAATGCCTCTAAGTTCATTTCTACTCGATTTGAAACGCCAAGTGCGGGCATCACAACAGAAGGGGAGAGTTGAGAAGATTATTAACACTTAACACTTTGGCACCTTTAATTGGTCTCCAAACCTGAGTGCGATATGGGTAACATCTTCCTCTCGGTTTTCAACCAAATCTTTCTAACCAAAACCTCAAAGGTCCTATCAAACAATAGGTTCAATCAACGCTTTATAAGACATCGAAGTAGACTCTAAGAGGATCTAACACTAACACGAATGATTAAACAACTTTTGCCGAGAGACTCTAAATACATATTTGTGAATTAAAGCCAACCTTTACGGCATTTCCGTGCTCTTAATGAGTTTTAAGTTTTATGGCGGTTTCGAGGGTTAATTGGGTTTTAAAGTATTTTTAACTAAACCTGGAAAATCAATGTAAAATTTATCTTAAAACTTGTTGAAAATGTAGTAAGCCTATCAAACTTTGAAGATGTGGTTTTACATCTTGTATTAATGCAAGCATCAAGTGAATACTTAATGTCATACTATCAACTAGTTTGAATGGACGGAAGGTCATAGAGATCACAAGAGAGAGACACTCTGCAATTGGCCCAATAAATAAAGCGGATCGTGTATGATTGAATTGTCTTAATTACAAAGAATCAGATAGGTTTTCTAGCAATTATATTTGAGCTTTTGGAAAAAACTCTAATTAATTATTCCTTATAATTTTGTAAATACGACCTTGAGTTAATGCAAAAAAAATATACACTGTTTGTGAAGAGTGGAATATTTTAATTGAAAGGGTAAATTAAATTTAACTTATAAAGAAAGCCCACTAAAATTTTATCTGTTTAAAACAAGTCTATCTTCTTCATTATAGACACAAAATGGCGAAATTTCAGCTAATTATTCATAAAAATCTAAAATAAATCACAAATTAATATTCATAACAATTATGGAGTAAAAAATACTAATATTAGACTATTCTTAAATTTTACTGTATTATAAGTATTTTGCTAAGTATAAATAAGTTATAGATTTTATGTTTTTCAAAACTCTTTAGGAATTAGAGTTCATGATGAACGAAACAATGCAACCTAATTGATCTATAGATATGTAATAATAAAGAAAATAGTGACTTTCTCTATATACTTCTACCTTACAAGACAAAAGTAAAGCTAGATTACGGAAAGTCATTTGTCTATGGAGGAACGAAGAGATAACTTTTAAATTTACAATAAATAATTAAGAAAACAAGACGCTGTCAGGTGATATGTGGATGTAATTCGCAGAAATTTAAAGCCGTGAAATATCTGGCACAGGAAAGTGAAACATTTTTTTAGATCTGGGAGGTAGAAGGAAGGAAATATTTTCCTTTACTTTGAAAAAAAGAGGAATTTCAATCTGATATTTTGCTTATTTGTGATGTTCATTTAAAATATCAGAACTTTGAAAATACGCTGGATTCTATTTATGCTTGGCTGAACTCTATGTAGTTGTTGGCATTTCTTTTGCAATTTTCAACGTTAGGTAAGTCATAACGCCAGCGATTTTTTTAGTACAATTTTACCTGAAGGTGTCTACTTGACCAATGAAAAATTCATTGAGAAACTAAATGAAAACTCTGTCGTTCCATATTTAATTTCTATATGAAATATATTTATGACCCACTTTAAATCAATAGTAACGGCTATAAAAATGTAAATTATTTAAGTATTAGTTTTCACTATTTTCGTTATCTATTATAATTTAAAATTATTGATAAATTAAGTGAGCATCTTCGCAACGTTGTAGTTGTGAGCAAAATAGCGAAAAGACAATAGAACATAACGTAGACGCTGAAACTTTACGAACCCTATTCTCCACATGGTCCTAATCACATTAAAATTAAAATAGATGAAGAAATTTAAAAAAATTCTTACAGTTATTCGTTTTTAAAGCTCTTTTAGTCAGTCGATACCCGTTCTCTATAGTAAGTATGTGCATCTACTTCCACACAGTTGTCTTCTTCTTTGTGACCATCAGAACTTTCCCGCCAATTATGCCCATCCAAGTTGAAACCCGAAGTCACAGTATTTTCAAGGTTGAAATATTCCCAAGTAAGTTTGCAAATGCTATTTAAAGGGCAATTTTTGCCCATTCCTAACATGTAATTGCAAAAAGACAAAAAATTTGCAATTTTCGGTTTAAAGTTCTGGAAAGAATTTTTTCTTTAGCATCGTGCTTTATTTTATCCTGTTATCAATGTATTCACAAAAGATATGGCATTTTATATTATTCCAGATATATTCCAGGTATTTCGCCCTGCCCATAGAAATGGAGTATATTTGTCACGTGCTCTAAATGTAGTCCCAGTCAATGAAAGCGAACAATAGGTAAAAACAAAACTGTAAATCCATATTTTGTTTGTAAGCAAAAGAACTTCCTTAAGAGTTTTCTAACTCAAGGTCTTTGAACTTCAAGCAGGAAAAGGATCTTATTCATCAAGTAGAATTAATTAAATAATCAACATTCATGCACGTGTTGGGGACCTGGGTATGTTTTATAATTAAAAATACTAATTCATGTTAATTTAACTAAGTATAACGTAGTGAAAAGATTGTAATTTCAGCACGATAAATTAATACTAAAGCACTGGTTTTTGGTTAAAAAGTCCTTTTAGTGAATTAACCATTAGAACCATGGAAAATATAATTAAGTAATTATTTCATTACTCACCGAAATATTCTACTCCAGGTTTCCTGGCCCGAATTGTAAAATCATTATCCAGAGTTAATCTTCTGAGCAATAATTCGTAGCGCAAGCTGATAACACCCAATGAGAATCAAGGAGCTATCTAATTGGTCAACCGATTGGCCATAAGTCGACGTGTGAGTGGGTGAAGGAAGGGCGTGGACAGACGATCAATGCGACACATAGAGGGTGAGAAAGCAAGCAGAGGTAAGCAACCGCTTGAGGTAAATACGCAATTTGCTGTGCACAGCACTCGATTAACTTCTGTTGTGAAGATGAAGAAAGATCTGAACTCTCAATACGATGAACCATATAACCGATTGGAAGTTCCTAGAATATTTAGGAAAAATAGGCAAACTTTAAAACATTTTTTTACAAATTTGATCCACTTTTGAAATATGTCCATAACCTATAAAAGTTCCCTTTAAGTGCTTAAATTAATATACTCATTTGGGGTGTGCAGCAGACTTACCTCCAAATGATGTACCCTGCGTAAAGTTTACTCATACGGCAAAATGGTCAATAAAATAGTCCAGTTGACTTATTCTTCAAACTACTGTATGTCATATTCGATCACTTACCTTACCTTTTCCTCTACCCTTGTGTCTGCCTGCCTCTTTTACATCTATAAATCACTCTCTCGACTTTTGTTTGTGGATTTGATGTCCCTTCCCTCTGTGAGGAACGAAGTCAACTAAAGGGCCAATGATGTCTAACATAAATTTTGTCATTTGATAAAAATAAATATATACTGGACGAGATATATGTGTCCATAAATTATGAATTATTGCATTGGTTATAAACTCAACCAATCCAAGAGAAATAAAAGAGCAAATTAATTGGCAATATCGCACTAAACAATTATTTTCATAATAATTGAAAACAGTTAGAAATTTCCTTTAAGGAGAATTTTGCGTTCCGTTTTATGTTCTTCTTCTAATAATTTGACATTGGTGTAGTGTATGGTCACCATTTTGACACTACTGAATATTGAAGCTTATTTTAACCATTTGTTCTCAATATGTATCCTTTTCTCGAATTCTAGACTTACCTCCACGTAGTGCACCCTGGGCAACGTAAATTTATATGGCAAAAAAGTCTTTTATTCTGTAGTTGACTTCTGACTTCAAACTACCATGACCCCACTGTATAGTTGACTTCTGACTTCAAACTACCATGACCCCACTGTATGCCATATTCCACTACTTTCACAGTACTCATCTCACCTTTTCTCTACCTTCGTGTCTGTCTGTCTGTCTCATTTACCTCTGCGAATCACTCTTCTTTTCCTCCTCTCGGATTTTTCTCACTTCGATGTCAGCTAATGGGCCAATAATAATTATTAAAACGGCTGACATTCGAAATAAATAATTCTAGAACAATCTTTTCTCAAAAAATAGCATTCTTCATTCTCGATTATCTCCATTGGAAGGCATCAAAGTTACCTTTCAGTTAAAAGCCTCAGAATCTGGACAGGTTGCAAGAAACATGGCTATCATCGGTTGCCGATCCTGACTCTCCAATAAGATCATCTCTTTCTTTACCACTGAGTTTGAAAAATATAGGAATAGTCCATCTTCTTTATTTTATCATATTAAAAGGGATTATAATCTAGATCTCACTGCGGAATTCTCCTAAAAATTTTTAACTTATCGATTACTTTTAGTCCATCCACAATCATAACAATTTTATTAAGGTAAATACTCACGAGAAGAACGTTGCGATCAATCGATTAAGATGCTCATTAATTCCTAGCTCCAAAGTTGACCATTTATTAAAATTAAAGTTAGTCCCTTATTTAGCTTTTAATTTCAGAAGAGGTTGTCAACTTTGAGGTGAGATGAATATTTAAAATAATAAATACTCAGTGTGTTCTTAACTTTCAATAAAACTTAGGATGTCACATTTTTCGATTCTTTATCTTTGTAGACAAATCACTTTCAGCCTTGTCTATGAAGCTAATGGTCAACACAAAATATTTAAAGTGGGGAGTACATTAATGCTTGGTTTTTTGGAACACTTGGTTGTCCCTTCGTAATCTTCCACGACTAAGAACTCAGGAAGAATAAGGTCAATGATCATTAGCTAAAGCATCCTTTTTCCATTGGAAAAAATTAACGTACTTATATAGACATGCCTTGGTCACAGATGATTGGCTATGGCAATAATCAATTTCGTCATATGATGGTGAGAGCATAGTAATCTAATAATCGATAATCATGGAATGAAGCTTGCTAATTCCTTTAGCACATCGAACATATTGGACAGATAAAAGCGAAAACCGATGAGAATGCAATTAGGCTAAAATGTAAATGAATACTGAAGAAATTGCTCGTATAAGCAATGACCATATGAGTAAAACCAGAAGTGCGTGTGCGATCAAACGATCTGATTAAATCAAGTCAATGAGTAAGAGTGGTAGAAAGTGCACTTTTCGTAAAAAGGCCCAAGATCACCTTTAGCCGTGAAGTAGAGTGCCGTGCAAAAAAACACGGAATGGGTTTAGGAAGCATTGAAATGAAAACATTACGATAATTTTACAGCTTTTCAATCAACTTCGACTTGTGAGATTTAAATAAAGAGAATATTTTCAAGAGTGGACAACTGACTTGTTTATATGTATATATATATATATACATATTCCATTTTATTTGTAGTTAATTTCGAATATTACTTGAGGATATTCATTTGATTTTGCTAAGTTTATTAGAATTAACTACTTTATTCCATTCTATTTATGTTTACTGAAATCTAATTTTTTTATTATCTTGAAACCGACCAAGCTCTGACACTCCATGATAGTAGTTTTTCTAATATCAAAATCCCTATCTATAATCTAAGGCTTTACTTATTTAATTTAATTAGTGTTTAAAAAATAAGTCATCAGTAAATGCGATGTTGCCAATTTTTTCATCTTTTGAATTTTTTATTAAATTTTACCCTTTGCCATTTTTGATATTCCTTTTACTATTTAGAATATATATATATATATACTGAGAAAAATTGGTATTTTATTCTTTAGGAACCCAATCGAGATCATTTAAGCATGTTTCTTCGGGGCTGTTTCGATAAGTTCATTTCAATTCATAAGAAGCTACTTAGATTGATACGAAATGGGGCAATTTTTTATAGAAATATCAATTATCACTCCAAAGCTATGGAAGCAAGAGTGGAACCGCAAATTAATGTTTAAAGCTGTCTTGAACGATTATAATTTGGTTTCTAAACGAGCAACTAGTCTTTGGTTACTCGGCAAAAATGATTGGAACTGGGTTGGGATGTTTTGTCACACCCACCATATAGCCGTGACCTTGCGCCTTGCTCGGCAAAAATTATTGGAACTGGGTTGGGATGTTTTTGGCAAAAATTATAGGAACTAGGTTGGGATGTTTTGTCACATACACCATATAGCCGACTGGGTTGGGATGTTTTGTCACACCCACCATTTAGCCCTCACCTTGCGGCCTTCGGATTACCATTTGTTTTGTTCCATGCAAAACTCGTAAAATTTTTAACAACGAGGATGATGTCGGATCACACCTGATTCAGTTTTTTATGACCAGACATTTTACGAAGTCAGTTTTTTTAATAGCAAAGACCAGACATTTTACGAACAATTTTACGAACGGGGAATTTTTACTCTGCCAGAAGGATGGTATTTTACGAACGGGGAAGTTTTACTCTGCCAGAACGATGGGAAAAGGTCGATCGACAAGATGGCCAATATCTAATTGAATAAAGTTATATTTTTAAACAAAAATTCCGAATTTGCCTTCTTATTTGAAATCGGCAATGACTTAGTTGCCCACCCAATATTAGCGCATATCGAATCATTTGTGATCTCGTTTCTCAAACCCATTCGGGAACGCGTTTTCGAAGCTAATTATTATTATTGTGGTTTCATCATGGCATTTCTAATGATTAAAATCAAATTAAGCTACTCTCTTTTGTTTGCTGATTTGGTCAATGTCCTGTTGACTCTACACACGGGAATCGAACAGTCGTACTTCAGACTACCCTGAAGAACTCAGACTATTTGATTTATTGCAATTCCTTACTATTTAAATCAATGTTGCAAACCTTTCTTTCCTGGATTTTTTCAAAAACAGTATCTAAAGAAAATTCTTAATTTGAACTTTAAATTACCCCTTTAATAGGATAAATTTGGAAAAAAAAATATTTCAATTTAACTGAATATTCTTCTTTAAAATAAATTCCATTTTATGTTAAAAGAAGGAAATGAACTGCTCAATATTTTCTTGTTAAAAATGCATATAAGGCCATATCTGTTATTGACAACTCCTGTAACTCTTCGGCATAACACAATTCGACTTCAGACTTCTCAATTTCGCCATATAAGTTGCAAAAACCTTGATACCGTTGATGTAATTTCGAACGGACATCCGTTCATCACCTTCGTGAGCAAAAGATTGACATTCTGCCATTGGAATAAGAACCACATCTTTACCTGTTTGTTCCTTAATAAAAAGAATAATTAAACTGAATTCTTTAAAATGGAGAAAGTAGTTTGATCTAACCCATCAAAAAGGCTTAATACCTTAACTGTTTTTTATACATCAAATCAAACGAAAATCGATATTTTCTTTACACCGAACATATCTTAATATCTGTAATGTGGTTCCCTATACCTTATAGCAACTTTCCGTACTTGAAAAATCGATTTTTGATCATATCGATTTCCTATGGAAGTGGTTTGCCCACAAAAGGGGAAAACTTCCAGTGCGTGAATTCTTTATGCGTAAAAACTAGGTGTGATTAATAAGATACAGAGTGAAATTTGAGTTTCTTGCCAGGAGGGCTAAATAATTGTATCTTTCTATCCAACTTGAAAGTTGGAGAATGCTTCCCTTTATGACCTCAGATGTGAAGCGACCAAATGATCATTTGGATTTTTATATGTTTGTATGTATTTTAAATCGATGAACACGGCTACCAGGTATTGTACTCCATGTAAGTCCTGTGATGCCTAATGTAATGGTACAAACTAATCAACAAAAGACGTGCTAGAATGTCAATTTCAGATTGAAGCGTCTTAAAACTCTTCCTGCTTCTCCCGGTATTATATTAACTCTTCCCTTAATAACATTTGAAAAAAAGTTGATTTTTGCCAAAATCCCCCCCCTTACTCTGAGTATCGTAGCCATGGAAATCGAAGCGCCATCACGAATAAGATCGGGTGCTCTATCCCAGACGTAAGTGAGAGCAAGGCAAGCAGTTTTATAATTTGGGCATGAAAGATCTCCCAAGAATGGACGCCCGTCTCGAAAGACCTTGATTGTAACTTTGTTTCGGCTGCACCTTCGAAGATGAACTTTGTGAAGATATTCAACAACTTGTCTGATAACTATATTTGGGTCCTGATCAGGAACAAGTCGAATCGAGAACTTTCCCATAACCTAAAGATAAATCAAGTAAAATAGAGCGCAAGAAAGTGTCTTTAACCTCTAGATTACCCAAAGGAGTTTTTCTTATGAAGACTAGACATAATCAAGAATTTTTTTAAGAAAGGAATTAGTAAGGAACTAAGTTCTTGAAGATAATCAAATTCGGAATGTATTGATTGTTCTCGAGGTTCGAACATCATTAAAATATTTTGAGTTTTTTATAAAAATCGATGATGGGGCACAACTTATAATAATAAACTATTTTAATTACATATTTTATAGTGTGAAAATAAATTTGACGTTTGTTTAAACGAAGATCTTTCTTCAATGTTCATGCTTTGTGTTACTTGTTAAACCTGAAGCATATGCGATTATCAAGTTCTGGATTGCATGTTCTCATTAATTCCTCATGATTTCTAGAAAAATTCTTGTGACGCCTTTTTTGAGCACTGACAGCTGTTCACTTTACTTGTCAGCGTAACTCGTAGTGACGATGCTCTATGCAAACGAAAACTTCCTTAAACTAAATTGATTTTGGAAATTTTCTTTGAATCTTCGAACTGAAAGAATAGCTTTCTGAATATCTCGAATCAATGAAGTATCACTGACAAATGGATGTAGTCCGCAGCTCGGTCAATTTATTAATCACCGCAAATCTTTGGTCTCAATTAAAGTCCAATTGAAAGGAATTTAACTTCGTCTTAAATCCCACCCTTGTAACAAAATAAAATTGCTTTGATCAATATAATAAGCACCTAACAAGGAAACCTGCTTTTATTAGTTAAGTAATTATTTCAACCCATTTAATTCACAAGACAGGTGTTAAGATATTTAACATTTAAATCATCGCTAAGTTATCTTGTGAAGTAAGATTCCTTTGAGAAATCGGACAACCCATCGCAACACGATTTCAAATAGAATTAATTATTTAATATCCTGATATAATATTTTTGGCAGATCGCTGGTTGTCTCGTCTATATTTTTCTGACAGTAAACGGATGCAAATAACTTATTATGGAGTGAGATATTAAAGAGGTAATTTCGCCTCATCAAATATGAATATTGCGACATCGTACGATGAGGAATACTCTTTGTGGGCCATTCTGGGGTGTGCGATAGACTTACACCCTGGGCAACGTATACTCATAAGGCAAAAAAGTCCATTAGCCGGCAGTTGACTTCACACTTCAAGCTACCATCACCCCACCGTATGCCATATTCTACCACTTCCACAGTAATCATTTTACTTTTTCTCTGCCTCTGTGTCTGTATCTTTAACAACTGTAAACCACTCTTCTGTTCCCCACCCATCGACTTTCTGTTACTTTGACGTTCCTTCACTCTGTGAAGCCCGAAGTCAGCTAAAGGGCTAATGATAACTATCAAAACGTCTGCCATTTGAAATAAATAAATGGGCCATTCTTTGGTAAGAGAAATAAGTGAAATTGAAGATTTTGACAACCTGGTTGTTTTAATTTTTTTCATTTTAATTCTAAATAGTCATGGGAAAAAATATGTCGCCCTGCCTTGGGTAATAGCAGCGTTATGACCTTGCAGTGTACTCCACAACCCTTAAACGACTTTCTGCTTTCAGTGTTTAGATTTATCCTCAGGTTTTGGCCTTGCCAAGGTCAATAATAATGGAACCACTTATCACAATTTTTCGAAAATATCCTTAATATTGAGATTTGATGGTCCGCATTTTGTTCCTGATGGCAAACTTCAATTTTCGTAGTACATTATTTGGATTTTCAAAGTGCATTTTACAAGTTGGTTTAAAGAAATTAAGAGCGAGTTTACCTACACCTGACAGCAATTTTCCATTCTCTCTGTCAAACAAGTCAATCTAAGAGGAACAAACTTTTCTTCAGATCTTATGCATATGAATACCAAAACCACTAGGACATATCAATAAATTTAACTTCTGAAAAAAACTTGAGTGGCACTATTACGAAACGTTCGCAAATATGATTCAAATTATTGGATCAACTTACAGATTTGGGTATAAGTGTAGGGGAACCGACGTTGTCGAAGGACTTTTCAATTCCATGAAAACTAATGGAAGGAAGAAGCCATCTGCGAACCAGCGTCTCCACCTTTTCTTGAGTATGCAGAGCCTTAGTTTCGATTTGTGTGCCGTATTTGGTGGTATTAAAGTCGAGAGTTTCAAAGCGCCTAAATTGATTTTAAAATTAACTAATCCAAATTTTGTAATTTGTGGATAATTTTGATAGCATTTTTGACAATAGAAAACTATATCCAAAACTGAATTAAATTCGTTATTATTCATAAGTTGGAATGCCTTAACGTTTATTTAAGATGAGGAAACAGACTAATTTTCTATCAATAAATGTCCATCAATACCTTCTAAAGATATATATATATATAAAGTGTTTGAAAAAAATTTTATAAATTATGGTTTTTGCAATGACAAAGATAACTCGTGTTCAGCCTTTCTCTGGTTGGAATATCACCTTGAAGGTTGTAAAAGTACTCAAGTCACAAGAAGCTATTCTGCACCCAAATCGGGTAAATAAGACGTGTGGAACACGTTATCGCTCTCTGCGTCATCGTATGCCTGCATGTCTGCTCGCCAGGATTGGCAAAAATGCGGCAACTCTGTGTGCAGCGACCGTACAAACAGTGGCCAATCACTAGCCTCTGTTTGTTTGTTGGGAGGTGCGACCGTACAAACAGTGACCAATCCTTAACATCTGTTTGTTTAACCTAATCCCTCATCCTGATCATGAGTAGCTCCCTGCGTGTACACACTTTATCCTCAATACTCGTACTGAATAAACTTGCTCCGTACTACACGTCTGTTTCCTTTATAGTTGGGCTATAGCTTAGCTGGTTCTGGGAGTCTAGCTAGATGTTGGAGAATTTGCCATAGAGATTTCTGAGTCAGTCAGGCTTTACTAGCGTAGCAATCCGCTACAGACGTTGGAATTGTCATTTGAAATTAATTGTGCAATAGGGTACTAAATGTACTTTCATTTCGATGTCTTCGCAACATAATCTTTCGAAGTTTTTTAAAAAAATTAAGGTAAATTTACTTGATTTCACCCTCTTCCGGTTCACGTACAGCGTCAAGAATTCTTGGGACCATAACATCCCCTTTAAAATCCACCAATGAGTTCATGAGAGCTTGGAGATCTGCTAGTGGTTCCTGGACTGCCCCTCCATGACTTCCAGAGTGGAGGTCGCGGTTTGAGCCGTCAACGAAAACGTGGAAGTATACGACGCCTCTGAGACCGTAAGTCAAACATGGAGTATTCATGTTTAGCCAGTAGTTATCAGATATANGTCGTATAATTGGTCTCTAAATAAGAATTAGAATTCTTGAGTTGGATTGGATTGATTTGTCTAATATATCAGAGTTCATGCGAATCGATAAATTAAACCACTATAAAGAGGCATGATCTTATCACTATACATACATCGCTATGTCTATCAAACCTAAATTTGTAGTTGATTACCAGGGGTCTTTTAATCATTATAACGAAATCGTAAATCTTTTAGCCAAGTAAATATAATTTAATCCTTACATCTCAATCTGGAATACTCATCCATCGATTTCTCCCCTCTGCACTTCCTACCAACCAACTATTACGTTCCAGGCTAACCAGACAGTCACGTTCCATCTGCAACTCCATTGACATCTAATCAGTCCTCCCCATTCTGTGATCTCTCCTCGCCACTACTCTACATCAAAGGCATTTTCACATTGCGCTTTAAGCCTCCTCATTGTTTTAGCACTACTATCAGTGCTACCTTACCTTACCTTTTCTCTACCTTTGTGTCTGTCTGTCTCTCTTACATCTGTAAATCACTCTTCTGTCCCTCCTCTCGAATTTTTCCCACTTTGATGTTTCTCCTCTCTGTGGAGCCCGAAGTCAGCTAAAGGGCTAATGATAATTATCAAAACGCCTGCCATTTGAAATAAATATAAATATTGCCATGAATGCCTACTATTAAAAACCACTTTTGTGTTAAACATTGTAATTACAGTAAAATATCTATTATTATAGTTTGAGAGAGCGGGATGCGCGATAGACTTACATCCACGTGGTGCTCCCTGGGGAAAGTATACTCATACGCCAAAAAGTCTATTAACCGGCATTTGACTTCTGACTTCAAAATACCACGACCCCCCAGGTTGTCATATACGACCCCTTCCACAGAACTCATCATACCTTTTTCTCTTCCTTTGTGTCTGCCTGCCTCTTTTACATCTATGAATCGCTCTTCTGTCCCTCACCCCTCGACTTTTTACTACTTTGATGAACCTTCCCTCTGTGAAGCCCGAAGTCAGCTAAATGGCTAATGATATCTATCAAAACGCCTGCCATTTGAAATAAATAAAATAAATAAATAGTTTGAGAGAGCTTTTGCGAGATTTTTCCGAGACTTACTTTAAGAAAATCTCTTCTCATTTCATGAAGTAATTCGCGAAGTCCTTCAGAGCCGGTTTCTTCGCTACCCTCTATAAGAAATCGAATATTGACCGGAAGATCTTCCTTGCATTGCTAGAATTCAAAAGTTTATATATAAGCTAATTCAATATATTCGAATTGTATCTTCGGTCGACATAACTCATTAAAAGTCGAATGATATTCATTAGTTATAAATAAGCCTGAAATTATCTTCAATGGTAGAATATATTTTTTATGTAATGTCTCTGATTCGTACTATCCCGTACTACCCAACACCTTTCACTAGACGTGAAAAAAAATATTTAAATTTATAATAGCACAAGAAAAGCAACTCCTCCAACTTGTCTGAAAAGCCGTGTATCGAGGTGGTTTAACGCTTACTTAGACGAATAATTGTCATATATTACCTTCAAAGTTTTTTTGCTAATTAATAACAAACTCGGATTCTTTAGAAGTATCATAAGAAGTGAGCGAATTAAACGAAATTAGCGTTCACCTTGAATGAACTCTATTGGGTTCTGGTGTAGTCGATACATGGCGATAGGTCCCTTCTATCCACTATTTGATGAATGATGATTATATATATGAAAAGGGGGATATGACAATGGGCCCATTCACTCTCAGAGTTTGCCAGTGATTAGATTTTAAATTCGAACTTCGAAAGACTTGAATAAGGCATTGTGAGCGTAGTGTGTCAAGAATTCAAACAATGTAGAATGTTTAATGTTCCAGCTTCAATGTTTCAGGTGAGGTTATGTTGACCGAAGGTATTATTACTTTTAAGCAAATGACTAAAACTTTCAGTGCAATGTTTATAGCAAGACAAAAGTAAACTACTAGTGGTTTTATAAAACATGAACCAAACAATAAGCAAGAATTCGAATTTACTCCTTTTTTTTCAAAATACGCTACTCTTCTATCATTCAACTAGTCTGCCAAATTTGATGAGTATATTCCATCTCCAATTAAAATGGTTGATTCATTTGTTTTCAACTATATCATGACGCTTACTTCAGTCTGCTAATTCAAAAACTTCTCTCAATTCCTTGTGATAGAAAACGATAAGAACTTGACAACAACATCTAGAGGTGGTCCATATTTGAGCATAGATATCAGCTATTACAGTGCTAGTGAATGAAGCACGAAGTAACATTTGCATATACACCACAATTAGTATTTAAATTAGTCGGGGTAGGTTCCTCGGCCATCTTCGAGGTGTCCAAAAGATATGAGTCCGGATTGTAACATTATCTTAATTTTCTATTTGTAAACAAAAAGCATATGTTAGGACTCCTCATTGGAGACGCTTCGATCATGAGACAACATGTCTCGTCTTCCTTTTATAACTACGGGTTTCGACCAGGGGGACATGACCGGACAATAACAAGATCGATCTTGATGGAAAAATCGTTTCTCATACTCGCTCTTATTAAAATAAGCGCTTCTAAATGTTACCTGTTAAACAAACCAGCATTACAGTAGCAAAAGAAGTAAAATTCTGTTAAAACTTCAAGGTGAAAGTGGATAGTTGTTTTGACTTAAATCCGATTTCAAATCCCTTCCCAAAGTAGACCCCAAATATGTTTTTTGATCACTCGGTGGTCAATAAGTGGCAAATCTCAGGAGAAATGCTGAATTTAGAATTGAGTAAGAGCATCCATATCTACTCGGTAAATTTGTGAAATTCCAACTCCAAATTATTTACCAGGAACCCACTGAAGCAATTCTCAAAACTCGATAGTTGGAACATTGGGTTGTAGAGCGTGGGCGTATGACAGTTAAGTAAGGTATATACGAAATGAATTTAAAAAGCTAGAATCGAAAAACTCTTTAATACCTAAAATTTGCTTTTAACTTCTGCTTGATATTCCCGCCATTACCTTCTAATACACTATTTGAACTTTACCATCTTTTATTTTTTATTCCCCAAGAAATTGGTATAAGTGGTAATATCGAATGCTTCTATTTGTGAAAAATATTCATCGAAAGCTAGGAAATTTGCGTATTAGACGCTTCAAACCAAGTATTTATCAAATAATATCTTCAAGAATTGTTATATAGGAACTGATTTAAGGAAAAATATAAAAATCTCACAATAAAAGCTTCTATGGCATTAATCCACCCAACGACGGGTCCTTTGTCATCTGCTACACCCCGTCCATACATAAATCCTTCTATGATGGTCAAATCAAAGGGATCCGCTTTCCAAGATTCTTGTGGAGACACTGGCTTAACATCAACATGTCCGTATATAAGAAGAGTAGCTTTATTCTGATCATGTCCAAGACTGGCACAAACAATGGGGGGCATATTGGCGACTCCGTTTAGTTTCATAGGTACCTGATCGCCCTCATAAATAAGTTCCTTGCCGACTTTCCGATAGCAAACTTCAAAGCCCATGCTATTATTATGAATGAGTATTTATCAAACAGTTGTTTTTACTTAAATACTATAAGTAGCAAAAACCTACTTCTTTAATCGGATCCCGCACCAACGAAGTGCTTTTAGGACATCCAATCTGTGGCTGGTATCTTCTGAAATGCTTGGAATGGCAACTAGTTCCTTGAGACGATTGACATAAATATTTACCCTCCTGTCTATGAAATCAGTCATAATGTCTAAACAGGTCTTCATTTTCATGGTGATCTATTTCTGCTTCCAGAATGGAAGTCAAAGGCGCTGCTTGCCAGAAAAGATTGAAACTTAAATCGCGAAATGATGCACGTGGCAACGTGCAAATGGGACGGGAAAATATGGCTGGATAATTTATTGATTTTTTTCATCAAGCGATGAATTCGCGCATGTTCGATGAATTGCTGCGATAATTCGAATTACAAACTGCACCGCTTGACTAATAAGTATAACCAAGTCAACTCATAATTGGGCCAATTTTTCTTAACCAATAACGGAATCTTTAATGCAACTTAAGCCCTTTCAATTGACTTAACTATTGGCGGGCTATTTTGTTGTCCCTCAAAATCAAATCCCGCAACTTTTCTATCCTATTTGAGAAAAAATGCCGTTTCTCAACATTACTAGCCATTTAGGACACCCTCAGTGTTCTTTTCCCAATGATACATTCGTCGCAGTCCGTCGATTGAAGTTACGATAAGCAGACTCCAATTGTGTCACTTCATCTGACATGTGAACACGTAGGTTTTACCCTTAACATTCTAAATATGATGTGTAGGGCCGGTAATTTACCGGTCATAAGACAAACTTCGACAGTTTCAGACTTGCGATTTCTAATTAATTTAAACTAGAACCATGCTGAGTCCTGGCAGATCAAAAGCCCACTTGCCAGGCAAAACAAGACTAGTAAAGAAATTGGTCGCGCACCCATTCCTCCTGTTTTAAAGCTATGGGGCAAGTACATCGATATAATTACTCTAAAACCAGGACTGATCAAAGAAATGGAAAGAAAACATTTGTATGCAAACAACTTGTAGAACTACCTAAAACAAATCGACCCTGTAAAACAATTTATAAAACAAGGCAATAGCATAAAATAGTTTATACAAAAATGTACATTAACAAATAGAAACGTCAAGAAGGAGTGACATAGGCCCGCTTGATAGTAGCAGGCTCAATAGGTTTGTCGTAATGATCAGTTTCAAGCATACCAAGCCTTTTCACGACCTGCATCCCTGATTTAACTCTACCAAAGATTGTGTATTTTCCATCTAACCACTGTGTGGGGGCCAAAGTAATGAAAAATTGACTGCCATTTTTGTTAGGACCAGATTTTGCCATGGAGATAATTCCGGCACCAGTGTATTTAAGATCTGGATGGATTTCATCATCAAAGTAGCGTCCGTAAATCGATGCACCTCCAAGACCTGTGCCAGTAGGATCTCCACCTTGAATCATGAAATCACGGATAACTCTGTGAAAAGTACAACCATTGTAATATTCACGTTTAGCTAATTCAGCAAAGTTCTTGCATGTTCTTGGAGCGTGATCCCAATAGAGTTCAATTACTATAGCTCCTTGGCTTGTTTCCAGAGTTACGCTAGCTGGCTGATCGGGGACGCTCATCTATAAGGAAAGGACGCTGAAATGCGCAAGTAGGTTAGTAGCGAAACCTCCAGGATTAGATTCTGACCTCAAACATAAAGTGCTATATTATTCACAATTTATCTATCTTCGTTAAAAAATAACAATTGAATTAATTATATTACTATTTCTGAATTTATATAAATTTTCATTAGCTAAAGTTTATCAAATGAATTTTCGGAAGCTCAATCGAGTCTCACCAAAGACAACTCTCTTTTAGCCCACATATTCCGCTCAAAATGAAGAGACATGGTAGTGCTGTAGATGAAGGTGAAAACGGTCAAGAGAATGAAAAAAAATCTAAACACACTTTAGAAAGTGACGAAGAAATTGATGAAGATGAAAAGGGGGGACGAATGAATGATTCAGAACTGGCAGGTATTTCTGTCGATTGACGAATATCCAGGTTGATACCCCTTGGTCTATTTGTCAAGGCTCATATTTTTCAATATTTTAGTTGGCCAGGAACCCGAAACTATTGGGCATGATGGGGATATTGTTATTACGCCGTTCAATATGCGCGAGGAGTTAGAAGAGGATGGACATTTTGATGCTAGTGGAACTTTTATTTTCAAGAAGGTGTGCAGTTGTTTTTTTTAATTATCGACTTTTAATTTCGTAAGACACTGTTTGGTCAAGTTTAACATTCATATTTTGTTACAAATCAGCCGGGAATATTTGGATTTTATGTATTATTTAGCTTTTGTTTGTGAATGAGTGTCGTTTCTTTTTAAAATGCGCTAAGAATAGGAAATAATGTTCCGGTGCATGATGTCTTTTTTTATTTTTGCTTAAAATATCTATTCATATTGTAGTTATGATGAAGTGTTTCTTTGCATTCTGCAAACATTGGCATATGATTACGCTCACCATATTGCTCTCTGAATCTAAGGTTGATCACTCAAGAAAGTGAGTGGTGAAACTGTTTCTGGGTATTTCAAATCTCTTTATACATCTTGGTTGATTTGTTTTAGCCGTGACTTTTGATGTTAGTTTTTATCTCAAATACTTGGAATAAGTGAATATTTCCTGATATCCATTGACAGTGATATCGTCCATCCATTCAGAGGTTGCCATGAATTATCACGTTTGAGGTAAAACTCTAGACATTCTCAATGAGGAAGTCGCCTTGTTTGCTGCTTTTACTGTTTAAGATTGGACTTAGCCATCGAGAAATGTTGGTGAAACCCGATTAACTAAGTTATCAGTTCAAATACTTCTCAAGTTTCCCTGTTGCGTAATAACCCCATATGGCACCTACTGGCTTATTCAACGTATTTGTCATTCTTTTCTTCCAGACAAATGAAGCTGGCGATAACTGGCTTGAGGATGTAGACTGGAGTGAAGTACGCCGTCACGAAGAGCAGTCTGGTAAAGTTGATGACCCTGCTCGATCAGCTCCCGCTGTTAATCCTGTGGCCGAGGAAGAAGCGCTACCAGAAGCAACCACCGAACAGCAGACAGATCTCTATCAACGCATTGCTTCTTTCCTTCAACCCGGAGAGACAGTGCTTCGGGCTCTCCGACGACTTGGTCCGACTAAATCGGCAGCCCAAAGGCAACGAGAACGCAACTGGATACGGAGGAAGGACGGCACAACCGTGGCTGATGCTGCAAAGAAGGTTCAAACTCCAGAAGAAGTGTAAGTCCACCCGATAGTAATAATAATTATACTTATCTGTTCGTTTAAACTACTCGCGTAAGCGTTTATACTTACCTAAAGTTTGGGCTTTGCTTTTCCCAAAAAGTGGTGAAGTGGACTTATCTTACTTGTGCGCTTCCAAGCAATAAGAATGGATTTCTAATAGAAATTGGTTATTTTAGTCAAAGCTAGGTGGACATGTCGTGACCCCGTTTACAACAATGTATAGGATCTTAAGTAGTTATTCCTTATGAACAGGCCAATGTAGTCCATTTTGCCTTATATCTCTTTTTTTGTAGTAATGTTTTTCATCTATGGAGGACTTATGGTTTGTTGGACTTCCTTATATCTTAGCCCTCTGCTAAGTTACATTGCATTCTAATTATCCATGTTCCAATGTTAACTTAACTAGTAAATGTTTTTACTTAATATGGTGAATCCGAGGTTCCCATTAAATTATATAATAAGTATCTTCCTATTTATTGTCTGCTTTAACCCTTCTTTCAATTCATTTTTTGATCACCCTATATTCACCTACTTTGTCCTACCTTTTAAACCGTGGTGGTATCTGCGTTTCTGCTTTATAGTGCCAAGGCAGAAGCCTTCGCTAAGCTCACGGAGTTAGCCAACGATCTACTGGGTAGCGGGGATTTTGACATTTATCAGAAAACTAAGGAAATTCTGGAAGACGTAGTTACCATCAGAAACCGTAGAAACGACGATGAGAGCGAATTGGATGCGTTAGGAGCTGCTATCGACAATGAAACTGGCCTTGAGCTATCGAGTGAGTTTTCGGCAGCTTTTATTAGTATTTTGAAATCAAATAGCCCAATATAAATCTTAATTTTAGGTGGCGACGGTGAATTGAAATCTTCTGAACCACCACCTGCAAAGTGGTTAGTGAAACGAGCCAAGAGTGCTGAATCAGATGCAGAAATTGAAGGTCCATATGAGGAATCAGTGCTTCGTGAATGGCTCAATGCACGACCTTCTCATGTTTCGGAGATCTTCGTCAAAAGGCAGGATGCAAAAGACGAGGAATTCCGCCAACTTCTCACAATCAATTTTAAATAAATATAATGCTTTGCACCTGTATATTGTTTTACTTGTAAATAAACTTATAACAATGCTGTTTCATTTGACTCGTTATGAAAACTTGTAATGTAAGAAAATGATAAGGCGATAGAAAAGGTTAATTTCGTGACAACATTTGGGCAATGACATTGTCTGAGAACATTTGAAATATTTCTTGGAGCTGCAGATCTGTTTCATCGCAGGGAGCAACTGAGTAGCACTGGAAGGTTCCGTGTTGAATGGAGAACTTTCCGACACATCTAAAGACCAGGATATATTTGTTAATTTGGTTCATTTTTTAGAGATTAGAGAATTGTACCTACCTGTAAACACCATTGTAGTGTATCGTGGGATTAATATCCTCCATATCGACAAAGATGCACTTAAGGTGAAGGCCTCTAGCTTGACCGTTATACTCCTCAAGTCGAAACGCAATGCCACAAGAAACGTTTTTAAATGGCGTTTCTTCTTCAATGATTCGTCCAACGGTCTCAAAAATATACTCACAAGACGTTTGTCTATTAAGAGCCGTTGCTAGTCCGCGTATTCGCCGAATAGGCAGGGAGAAAATATGAACGCCTGCTGAAAGCTTTGCATTGGTTTGCGGTTTAGATGCTTCTAGACTGGAGGCCATTAATGGACGGAATTGACTAGAGCTAACATTTGTCTGGTGTTCGAAATTAAATTTTGTTGATTGCAATGGCATAGGCATCTGTGTCTGCGAGATCCTCTTTTGACCACTTATATTAATTTGACGATAATATGGGTGGGTTCCATTCGATTTCAACTTCGATGAATGAATTGCAGTGTGTGATTCAGGCAAATGCGAAACGGAAAACATTAGAGCATGTGAGACCTAGAATAATGACCGTATTTGATAAGAATCAGTGTAACATTTTGCAAACATATTTCATCAGCAAATAGAATCTAGAGAAAATTAAGTGAAATAAATTGATCGATTTACTAATACAAACAGGTGCAATATTTGTAGTAAATAAAGAATGATATTATAAAATGGGTTAAATTTCAAGAGGGTACTAAGAATAATTTTCTCATAAATGGTAAATACGCGTTAATTCAGCAGCTTTTTGAACAATGCGGAGCTTTTGATAATTTTGACTACGATGCAACTGTAAAATTTGATGAGAACCTTTACAAAGAACTTACTTGGATTTAAGAGCAATTAATTGTTTGTGCGCTTGATTTTATAACTCTTATTTTTAAAGTAATCCATATTGCCAGTGTACATATGGAGAAGTAATTATTGGGAGGTGTAGAATATATGGGAAGATTAATATGTTCTAAGTAAACTGACTGGTCAAAACTCAATAAGTCGTTTTAAAGGCTGTCAAACAATGGCTAGGTAGCTTTCGAGTGATATCTCTTGTTGACTAAGGGACCGAGGCTGAAACAATAAAGATTGGGCTGGCCTGCGAGCCGATAAATGAAACTGAACTTATATTAGTAAGACCAAAAGTTGAAATGTAATTAAGTGCGAATGATTATTGGGCTGCATATAAGCAAGAGAAATAAAATTTTGGAAAATTAGTACATTAGGGAATGTGAAATAGAAAAGATGTATTTTATCAAGAGTTCAACTCTAAGGAAGTAGGTATTGTTCACTTTCGAATAGATTATGCATATCACACTTATCACCTAAACTAAAACAAATATCGTATCTGCATATAAATTTGGCAGGCAATTTTCATGGGAACGATGGACAGTTTTCATCACTTTCATTTATGAATAACACTCATCATTATAATATAAATGTAAAAATATGACTTGGGATTCTTAATAAATCATAACTACTGAAGTGAAGAATCATAAAGGTCTTGGTAAATGCCTTATTAGTAATACAATTCTAGGTACCAAACCAATGTACTTTGAAGCACATTAATCTATTTTTACCTAAATAGCGGGTCACCATAAAATTCCAGAAAAAATGCCATGGATATTTCGTTTCCTGAGACCTGTCATATAAACGCCTATTTATTAAATAATACATACAAAAATGCTGTTTTATGAGAAATAAACACACGCCGAAGTTCAAAATGTAGATAATTAAAGGCGTTATATGCTAGATAAATGCTACTTTTGCTACACTTAAGAATTTTAGATGTTATTTGTAACTCTTACTAGCATATCAATATATTTCAAATATTTCATCACTATATTATTTTAATTTGCTGCCTTTAAAAGTTTAACTTGCAACGATTCTTATAATCAATGTGCTTGAAGTGAGCCAAAGCTACTCAAATCTACTAGAGATGTGGAAAATCGGTCAAATGCGAATCAGAATAATTCTAAAAGTAATTATTTACATTTTATTAGACTCATATTACTAACCTTTGCACAGTTTTTTCCATTTAGATATAAAATTGAACTTTTAAAGAATATGCTTCTTAATATTTTCCTCAAGATTAATTAGATTAAAAAATAAATATAAAATTACATTTCTTAATAACTTATACCTTAAAATCCAGTTAGAACTTCTTTGTTTATTCATTTGATTTTTAAAGGACGATAAATTTACTTGATGCCTATACATCTCATTTGGAGTATTTAAGTTGATATGTCGGAACAGCCAAACCTTTGTGGTGTTCTGGAAAAATATCAACAGCTTTTGATTATCATTGAAGAAATGAAGCGTGATATCAAAGCACCCTACGTTGGAAATAAGGCTGGAATTGAAAGGTTAAGAAAAAATATTCATATTGCTCGTATTTATGTCCAGCAATGCTCAGAAGAGCTGAACCGATTGCCAACAGAATGAAAACTGCCAAGCTATTTATATTCGCTTATTGAATGATATTTAATCCTATTTTTATTATAGATGCTCCTTTATTAATTGGAATTTTATATTCAGGACATTTGGATTTTAGATAGTGAGATAAGTGAATATATGTGATTACTCTTGTTTCAAACGATGTAAAAAGTTTAGATTATGTTTACTGTAGTCATCAAAGGTCTATTTGGTTAAAATTCGAGAAACATCGTGGAAGTTTAATTGAAATCATTAATTCATTCATAGTAGTTAAATGGACATTGAAATCATAACGTAATGTGAAATATAATATGTATGAAAAATGGCGTATGAAGTGCACTTTGCGCATATTGAGTGGATTTCAAACAGTATTCAGTGATGAAAATTTCATCTGTTTCATGAACGTGATTTGAATCAGATTAAAGTAGCGTCGTTATTTGATATTCGACAAAATACTTTTTATGACATATTGAAAATATGCACCTCATGGTAAATAAGTCTTTAAAGGACCTTGATTAGTTAATATGATACAATAATGTTGAAATTTCCGTGATTTGATGAAAATGAAAAACACTCAGTATTATATGGTAAAATATTTGCCGATACCCAGTATTGGGCTTTAAATTTAATTAGCCCACAATAACGTATTTATTTAATATGTGAAAAGAACTAAGCAATTTGAGATCAATGTTGGAAGAGAATTATGTTCATGATTAAATAATCAGTATACGATAATGATAACCTTAACTTGTGTAATAGATTTGCGACGAATCTTCAACACACTAAAATTTATATAAGATTCGGGTTGATATCTTACAAACTTAAAAGCTGACAGGACACAGTAATTTATTCGCATAATGATTAGAGGGTCTTGAAATTTCCAGATTGTATCGATGAGTTAAAAGCCCAGGTTTCTAAAATAAGAAAAGAAGAAATTTAGCCTAATGCCTTTATAAATAAAGTCTAACTAAAGTATTGTGATAACTTTACTTGATAATAGCTTGGCTTTTATTAAATTTTAGATTCTGACTTATAATAAATAATGATAGTAATTTCCCAATTAAACCATTGCAGTATAATATGCTTTTGGAATTAAAAATTTTTAAAATTAATTGTATATTTCCTTAAGTTTGTCTTTAATGCTTTTCAGGTATAGTGTAACTAAGTGTTTTTGTTTAAATATTTATATTACTGCCGCGTAGTTCGGAAGCTCCGACAATCTTATAGGACTTTACAATGTCGAACCAGCCTAACTCAGCGCCAATGCCGGTGATTGATGGCCAAGCAAAGTATGCTCATCTCCTACAAGTCATTGAAGAAATGGGAAGAGATATCAAGCCGACGTACGTGAATAACAAGAATGCAGCAGAAAGGTTGAAGAAGAATATTCACACCGCCCGCATCCTTGTTCGGGACTGTGTCGCCGAACTGGAGCGGGTTCTTAAAAGCTGAGAATATCTCACTCTTTGTAACTGTTGTTTGTTTTATAATAATGCTAATATGAATGAATCGAATTTTTCTTTTTAATAATCGCGAACCAAGTTTGCTCTAATTCACGCCTTGCTTCTTGGGCAATATTAGTCAAATAGGTAGCTTGCAAAATCATGTTTCTAGTATAGGCTTTTCCCCCGTAACCCAAGTTTTAAGCAGACTTAGTCGTAGTAGGTGTCGGTAGTTATTGTAATATTACCAAAATAGTTACAATATAAATATATCTCTATACAATAAAAATATGCTTTCAAGTGCCACTCTGTTCAGGGAGTTAAATCCACAATCTCCATTGGGATGTTGATGTTGACCATTTCGACAGAACATTCTTGGGCCGGTAAAATGCCTTTTTCTTCCGCATTGCTCTCCACACTCGTCAAGACACTTCTAGGTCTCCCACGACGCCTAGCTGGCATTCGAGGAATCAAGAAATCTCCATTATCCACCTGATAGGAAAACCACTTTGAAGTAGGCAGCTCCGATACAGGACGTGTCCTTGGTCTACCACGTTTGCGGGCAAAGCCTTCCTTGATCATGGCGACAGCTTTCTCACAGAACATCAACTCCTCTCTAGGAATCGAATCAATGACTTCATTTCCAGTCACAAACTTTGTAAGGACCGTTCTATTAGAACCTCGCCTTCTCCGACTCAGAGTTGATATGAGACGACGATCATACTCAGGTTCGTAAAGATGAGCTGTATTTATCACTTCATCCATTGTCGCCCCAATCGGGTCTTGTACAACACTATCCAATTGAACATCAGTTATATTCCTCATTGTTTGAACCAAATCCGTCTTTCTTCGCTCCCGCTGAACTACCATATCTGCCATTGTTCGAGCCTGTTTTAGACTATTTCGAACATAGTCGCATTTCTCATCGACGCTATCAAGAACCATTGTCTCGTCATTAATCTGGAAGAGACAAATGAGACCAATACAGGAATTATTAATGGTTTAATACCGAAATAAGCTGACTGAATTTGTACCAGCCGGAGAACCCACCACTCTATGGCCGTCAAATCCGAAGGTCGCATCAAAATCACAATTTGAAGGTGGAGTTTTCCGTATCACATTAACAAAGTGAAGTGAGCAGATTATGAAATTATAATACTTCGATTCTGAAACCAACTCTGACTTAACTATGCAATGACGAGCTACATCAGGCATCGATTTTAAATAGCGAAGGTTTGTCCTAATCTGTTTCTTCGTGATTCCGAATCTTCTCAAATCATTTAACAACAACTTAGATTTGCAGCTATTGCAAAGGGTCTTATTAAACCTATTGCTTAAATCGCCCGATTTTATTAACCCTTTTTATATACCGGTATCAAACAAATCAGACGTGATGAAACTAGACTAATGCTGGAAAATAGCATCAACCTTGAAGTACCAAGGGTTAATGAGCTAATTAACAATAAATACGCCAAAACGATGGAAATCGGCGCATTTTTCATGCAAGGACATTTGAACCTAACTCTATCAATGATTATGGTTGTAGCATACTCAAATTACGACGAGGAAACAAACCTTCTGGGGTTCAGTTTTCTGTGCTTCGACAAGATCGACAGTCCAATGGGAGGGTGGTTTATGAACAAGAGGATTGTTGAATTCCGAGCGCCGTTTAATCCTCCAATAAGCAAGGATAAGTTTGATTATATCCTCAGGAATTGAGTGTGTGCTCTCTGAAAGGCTTGAAGACGATCCTTCATTTGCTGAATACTTAGAAGATCCATGTTTTGATTGGAGCTGTCCTGTCAAGAGGTTTCCAACATCTTCTACTGTAACGTGCTCGTGGAACCTTGCTGCTGGACTGTTCAACCTAGTAAAACGATAAAAAGCGCTTAATATCTCGCAATACCTTCTGATTTATAACCAGAAGCTGGATTAGAAGTGCTCGCAGTTAGGTAGTGATTAATAAGCAAACATACTCAATATGGCCCAAAAGTTCAGAAGCGGGCAAACTGTATGCCGAAGGTAAACAACAGGGCATTACGCGGAGCAAGATCCAAGTGATAATTACCAAATAACTAAGAGTTACGAACTTACCGAAGAAAGTTAATATCATTCGAGGGGCAAGGCCGCGGAGTATTTGAAAGATCTTGGTTCAATTCGGTCTCAAAAGTGGGCATTTTGTGGCGTTTGGCCATTCGTTTAAACTTGTCCTGAAAGTCGGGAGAACTATGTTTTCGACAGAAGGCCTAGAAAAAAGCAACAGAAGAGCATCAAGAAAATCTGCTGTGAACATGGCTTTCATTAACTAGTTCATTATAAGGAACGAAACGATTCTAGATATTATCAAAAAATGAAGTGGAATTTAGTTGCCGATTTGGAGTAGTGAAATGCTACAAACGGAAACCAAGAGTTGTTCTCAAACTTTAAAGCTGTTGAATTGGACGATGTAGCGCAAATGGAAGAATAGATCAAACTCGTATTGCCTAGTGCCGTGCTGTTATCTTGACAAATGAGATAGTATGACTAATCATCAATTAAACTAACATGCTAATAATGGAGGTTGTGGGCAAAAATAGTTAAAAAAAAACAAATAAGAAATTGGAATACTACGCTAAAACAAAAAGATTATTGTTTTGCGATCAAGTATATACTCCGAAAACATATTGCCAACTCGAGGGTGGATTTATTCTAAGGGCGCGACCTCGAAATCCGCCAGTATGCAAATTTAATAAGAAGTGGGTTTAATATTGACCTTGTTTGGAAGCCTAATCGATAAACTCATTATCTCCGACCTTCGTGCACAGTCTTGTCGGCTAGGTGAAGTCTTGACTACCACCCCTCGCCCCCCCCCCCAATCCATCATTAAACCTACGGTTTCAGGTGTATGCTTTCCCTTCCCTTAGCGAGCGGTAACAAAAAATGCTTTGTGAAATGTAGGCTAATTAAAATAAATAAAGAAAACGGACAAATTTAGTCCAAATAGCCTCCATACTGTGGGATTCGTACCGATAATCCCTTCCCACCTTAAATAAACAGAGTTCCACATGAAACGACAAGCCCTCGCCCTCGCCCGAACACTCATGCACCCTCTGGAACCACCAGCTTTCCTAATTAGTCGCAATACGCATGGTCGTCATCTCTACCTTTGGGAGAATTCAAAGGTTTTGTGAATCAGCGATTATAAAGCAAACCGATTTTTCAAAATATTTCGTCATTTTTTACATACGACAACAGATAGTACGTCCAAGTGTCTGGCTATCACATAAATTTAAATAACTCGTTCAATTTTGAGGGGAAAAACAGACGAAAATGCGTAAAAAAACAACGGGACCAGAGAGAACAACACAACGGGAAGGCTGATTCATTTAATGCCTATTATCAGCCTCGGCAACTAAAAAGCGGCCCATCCAGTTATCAGGCTACAAAGAGCATTGAGAACTTAGTCTTCATTCAGACAGAGATTTCATATGCTGAGTGCTAGCGTTATCATTTCAGCTTGTCTAGAATGTGAATTTAGGGGATTTCAATGGGGGCAGTCATTCCTCCAGCTAGATATGGAGGAAGTATCGCAGAAATTCACACTTACATAGTCGACTGTGTAAGCACAAACAATACACAGTAGTCACTCCTAATATAACAATGATGATAGGAGAAACACATGCATCTCCTTGTTGTCCAGACAAAGAATAAATTTTTCTTCACTAAATCGTTAAAGAGGGGTAGGAAATGAGTCGTTTACATGGTTAGAGAAAAATCAAACACTCATTCCATTGCCTCGGATCAGTTCGCAAAACGCGTGATCATGAAATAACAATAGAATTCGAATATCCATTCAAGAAAATTCGCAGAATTGCCTCTGAGAGAAACAAACTCCCAAGTATTTTGAAGACATCAGCGATAGAGGTTCGAATTGCAAGTGGAACTCACTACTTTAACGAGCAATATCGTCGTATATTGGCTTACGCCAACTCGGCAACTATCACTTAAATCTGCATATCCTCATATCCAGATTAATTTTGTACTACAAACCATACTAAAGAACCAAAGATCCCAAAGTCTGACCTAAATGCTACCCAATAAATTCGATGCCAGTGTCTTATAAATCAAATAAAATAAAGTGGGAAATAGCATGGTTGGAAGATGAACATGAATCATGTTTGTTGCCATTCTCTCCACTTGTACGCTAATTTTGCTTAACCCGGTCCATAAAATAAGCAACGGTCTATTCTGACCTCCAACCTTCCCCCCTCTCCCCATTCACCCTAACCTCTCAGCAGTTTAAGCCGCGAACCCAGTTATACAGACACACCCCCACCCCCAAATCCACTAACCCAAAACTGAGTCACACTGCTTGAATAACACTGCACCAGTCTCATTTGCCAGTCCACTACAATTGTGATTACAACGCTGAAAGCAAATAAATTAGCATATACGCAAGCACCAATTTCTCCTAACTATTTAGCGATCCCTAACTCAGACAACGTGAATGTCAGAGATCACAGATACGAAAACCAATGGTAACTAATAAATGAGCAGGAAGTTAACAAACTGTAGATTGTGGTCAAAAGTGGATTTCAATATTAGAGAAATTGGGGTGTGCTATAGACTTACCTCCACGTGGTGCACCCTGGGCAACGTATACTCATACGGCAAAAAAGTCTATTAACCGGCAGTTGACTTCTGACTTCAAACTACCTCCACTGTATGCCATATTCGGCCCATTTCGGAGTACTCATCTTACCTTTTCTCTCCTCTTTTGTCTGTCTCTGTCACATCTGTGAATCATTATTCTGTCCCCCCTCTCGACTTTTTGTCACTTTGATGTTCCTCCTCCTCTCTGTGAAGCCTGAAGTCAACTAAATGGCTAATGATAACTATCAAAACGCCTGCCATTTGAAAT